TTGAAAGATAACAACAATTCGCTAATTATTTTGTTAATTGTTCACCAAAATGTTGAAGCCAGTCAAACTTGAAATACAATTTTATGTCGTGATATTTTAAATTTGCTGTTTGCAAATATCAATTATCCTATTAAAATCGTTTTTAAACAATTTGAACCTCTTTAAACATATCTGTTGGAGAGATACAAGTCATTAAACCATTTTTGTTGTCACTTAAAATCCATGTGGTCAACCTGGAACTGCACAGAATGTAAACAACAGAAAATTATTTTTATGCCTCTGCCGTCGCGGGCCAAAAAAGGGGCAAAAAACAAGCATTTTTCTTGTTTCAGGACAATAACTTGTGTGTAAGTGTATGGATCTTTATGAAATTGTACTACAAGGTTCCATATCACAAAGGGAAAGCTGGGTTTTGAGTTTGGGGGTAATTGCTATAAACGTTTAGGAATTTGGGACCAAAAAGGGGCCAAAAAACATGCATTTTTCTAGTTTCCAGACAATAGCTTGTGTTCAAGTGTATGCATCTCTCTGAAATTGTACTGCAAGGTACCATACCACAAAGGGATGGCTAGGATTGAGTTTGGGGGTGATGAATCATATAGGGGTTCAAAAAATTTGGGGGGGGGGATTTTTTTTTCCTTTTTTTCCTTTTTTTTTCTTTAAAATTTTCCATTTTAAATTGGTTATTTCTGATTTATATATAAAAGCAAATAATAATGATATGGTTTGAATAGGTAAATTAAAATTTTTTAAGTTCTTAGACCACATTCATTCTGTGTCAGAAACCTATGCTGTGTCAAATATTTAATCACAATCCAAATTCAGAGCTGTATCAAGCTTGAATGTTGTGTCCATACTTGCCTTAACTGTTCAGGGTTTGACCTCTGCGGTTGTATCAAGCTGCGCCCAGCAGAGCATTTTATTAAAATTGGAGTTATCTTCCTTTGTCCATGATTATAGTTGAATCAACTACAATCAATGCTTTATACAATGCAATGTTTAATTTTGACTTCCACTGATAAAACACAGATCAAGTTGAATTTGGGTAGTGTCACTTTAACCATTATTGAGTTATGCCCCTTTATATATCGAAAGATTGCAAAATTTTTATATTCCATTCTGTAACTTAAGTTTGCCCCAACCAAACATTATGAAACCTATACACAATATTCATTACCACAAAACTAAGATCAAGAACAAATTTTTTGTTTCCGTTTTCAAACTTTAGTTTGCCTCAACCAAATGTTATGAAACTTATACACAATGCTTATTACTACATAATTCAGATTAAGTACGAAATTTGGTGGCGACACTTTTACCATTCTTGAGTTATGTCCATTTATAAACATAAAAATTGCTGAATTTTTCGTTTCCGTTCTCTAACTTTAGTTTGCCATGACCAAATGTTATAAAACTTATACACAACCGTTATCGAGTTATGCCTGTTTACAAATAGAAAAATTGCTGAATTTTTAGTTTCTGTTCTCTACTTAAGTTAGCCTCAACCATATGTTATGAGACTTACACACAATGCTTATTACCACAAAACTCAGATCAAGTTCAAATTTGGGTAGGGTCACTTTTACCGTTCCTCAGTTATGTCCCTTTATAACTATATGATATGCAAGCAGGGGCATCATCTGTGTCCACATGTGGACACTATCCACATTTATTTGTTTTAAAAGATAAACACAAGTGGTTTTTATACGACCGCAAAAATAAAAAATTTTTTGGTCGTATATTGGTATGACGTTAGCGTCGTTGTCGTCGTTGTCGTCGTCATCCGAAGACACATTGGTTTTCACACTCTAACTTTAGTTTAAGTGAATGGATCTCCATGAAATTTTACCATAAGGTTCAATACCACGAAAGGAAGGTTGGGATTGATTTTGGGGGTTATGGTACCAACAGTTAAGGAATTAGGGGCCAAAAATAAGCATTTTTGTAACTTCCAGACAATAACTTGTGTGTAAGTGTATGGATCTCTCTGACATTGTACCACAGGGTTCCATATCACAAAGGGAAGGCTGTAATTGATTTTGGGGGTAATTGCCTCAAAATTTTAGGAATTAGGGGCCAAAAAAGGGGCAAAAAACAAGCATTTTTCTAGTTTCATGACAATAACTTGTGTGTAAGTGTTTGGATATTTCTGAAATTGTACTACAAGGTTCCATATCACAAAGGGAAAGCTGGAATTGAGTTTGGGGGTAATTGCCCTAAACGATTAGGAATTGGGGGCCAAAAAGGGGCCAAAAATAAGCATTTTTCTAGTTTCCAGACAATAACTTGTGTTCAAGTGTATGGATCTCTCTGAAATTGTACTGCAAGGTACCATACCACAAAGGGAAGGCTGGGATTGAGTTTGGGGGTGATGAATCATAAGGGGGTTCCAAAAAATGGGGGGGGGGGGATTTTTTTTTTTTCTTTTTTTCCTTTTTTTTTTCTTTTAAAATTTTCCAAAAGCAAATAATAATGATATGGTAGGAGATACACACCAAACAGGATGTGTAAATTATTATATTATAAGTATTGTGCAATAGCAAGAAATTTTCAATTGCACAGTATTGCACAATAGCAAGAAATCTTCAATTGCTCAGTATTGCGCAATAGCAAGAAATCTTCAATTGCACAGTATTGCGCAATAGCAAGAAATATCCAATAGCACAATATTGCGCAATAGCAAGAAATTGTCAATTGTACAGTATTGCGCAATAGCAAGAAATATTCAATTGCACAGTATTGTGCAAAAGAAGATACTTCGTATAAATTGCTTATTTCTTGATCAATTTCAATGGGGTTTTATTCTTGAATTCTTGGGGTTCTTTAATATGCTGAATCTAACCGTGTATTAAGTAATTGGATTTTGGGCCCCATTTTTAAATTGGTCCACATTGAGGTCCAAAGGGTCCAAAATTTAACTTTGTTTGATTTCATCAAAAATTGAATTATTGGGGTTCTTTGATATGCCGAATCTAACCGTGTATTTAGATTCTTAATTTTTGGTTCCGTTTTCAAATTGGTCTACATTAAGGTCCAAAGGGTCCAAAATTAAACTTAGTTTGATTTTAACAAAAATTGAATTTTTAGGGTTCTTTGATATGCTGAATCGAAACATGTATTTAGATTTTTGATTATGGGCCCAGTTTTCAAGTTGGTCCAAATCGGGGTCCAAAATTAAACTTTGTTTGATTTCAACAAAAATTGAATATATGGGGTTCTTTGATATGCTGAATCTAACCATGTATTTAGATTTTTGATTTTTAGGCCCCGTTATCAACTTTGTCCACATTGAGGTCAAAAGGGTCTAAAATAAAACTTTGTTTGATTTCATCAAAAATTGAATTCTTGGGGTTCTTTGATATGCTGAATCTAACCATGTATTTAGATTTTGGATATTGGACCATAATAGGTGAATGTCCAATTTAAAATTTTTAAGTTCTTAGACCACATTCATTCTGTGTCAGAAACCTATGCTGTGTCAAATATTTAATCACAATCCAAATTCAGAGCTGTATCAAGCTTGAATGTTGTGTCCATACTTGCCCCAACTGTTCAGGGTTCGACCTCTGCGGTCATATCAAGCTGCGCCCTGCGGAGCATTTTATTTGTTAAATTATTTGTAATTTCTCTTTTATACAAGCATCCCGTAAATTTATGTAACATTTTTTTTAGAAATAACTCATATTTATTAAATGTTCATGAATTTAAAGAAACTGTCATTTTTTGCTGTATATTAATCTGATTAAAAAAAAATTCATCAGTGACTTTTTTATAAAATTTGGTACACATAATCTTCCTGAATAATGAAACCAAATGTAATTTTAAAAAACATGGGTCCATGCACTCATTTTCTAGCTATTGATTAAAATCAGTAGAAAAATACAGCTTTTAAAACAATGTCACATTTTGGCATTTATTGGTCAACCGGAAAGTGGTAACGTTATCTTTCCTACGTTATGTTTACTGGCTTTGTCATTTACTTTTATAGGTTGCTTAATTGACGCTCTAAAATCTGCGATATTTGCAGAAAAACACTATTGTTGTATAGCAAGAATCATGAATTCTAATATGACAACTTCATTTTTAATAAATGAATGATACTACTTCGAACTGTGAAATGCTTCTACTGGTATTTTGTAATTACTGTTCGAGGCTTTTATCTTTTGTTTTATGTTGCAAGTATATCGAAAACGTCAGACTCAAAACATTGAAACTTATCATTGCTGCCTTCATTGATTTCCACTAAAATGAGATAAACATATGGATATTATGTCGCCATCCGTCTGTTTCCTTTATAATGTTCTGGTTGACATGTTTTTATACGACCACAAAAAATTTTTTGCGTTCGTATAATGCTATCATGTCGTCGTCGTCCGAAGACACATTTGGTTTCCGGACAATAACTTTAGTTTAAGTGAATGGATCTCTATGAAATTTTACCAGAAGGTTCAATACCACAAAAGGACGGTTGGGATTGATATAGGGAGGGAGGTTATGGTACCAACAGTTTAGGAAGTAGGGGCCAAAAAACAAGCATTTTTGTAGTTTCTGGACCATAACTTGTGTGTAAGTGTAATGATCTCTCCGAAATTGTACCACAAGGTTCCATATCACAAAGGGAAGGCTGGGATTGAGTTTGGGGGTAATTGCCCCAAACGTTGAGGAATTAGGGGCCAAAAACAAGCATTTTTCTAGTTTCCAGACAATAACTTGTGTTTAAGTATATGGATCTCTCTAAAATTGTACTACAAGGTTCCATACCACACAGGGAAGGCAGGGGTTGAGTTTGGGGGTAATTACTCCAGGGAGGGCGTTCAAAAAGGTTGGAGGGGATTTTTTTTCCATTTTTTGGGGGGGTTTAAATTTTTTTTCTTCAAAATTTTTGAAAAGCTTCAAGAAGAAATCTTCAATTGCACAGTATTGCGCAATAGCAAGAAATCTTCAATAGCACAGTATTGCGCAACAGCACAGTATTATGCTGTGATATTGCACAATAGCAAGTAATCTTCAATTGCACAGTATTGCGCAATAGCAAGAAATCTTCAATTGAAAATAAATACAAATCTTTTAACCAATTTCAATGGGATTAATTTAAAGTCTTTAATTTTGGGGGTTCTAACCTTGTTTAACTATTTTGGTATTGGGCCCCATTTTTAAATTCGTCTACATTGAGGTCAAAAGGGCCCTGTTTTCAAATTAGTCCATATTACCGGGTAAGGTTTGAAGGGTCCAAAATTAAACTTTGTTTGATTTCAATTAAAATTAAATTTTTGGTGTTTTTTTATATGCTGAATCTAACCATGTTGTTAGATTTTGGATATTAGACCATTCTAGGTAAATTAAATGTCCCATTTCAAATTTTTAAGATCTTTGACCACATTTATTTTTTGTCAAACCTATATTATGTCAAAAATTTGATCACACTCCAAATTCAGACAGTATCAAGCTTGAATATTGTGTCCAAACTTTCCCCAACTGTTCAGGGTTTGACCTCTGCGGCCGTATCAGGCTGCGCTCAGCGAAGCATTTTATTAGAATGTGTATTTGGAGTGAATGGACCTGATACCGTTTTCAACAGGGTCCAAAATGGCGTTTTCCAGCTCATGCAGATTTTAAATTTAATTTTCCAATTGTAATGGGATTTTTATTATGGAAATAATTTTTAAACGTAAAGCTTTCAGTGAGCAGTGTCAGCATTATATCTTAACATAATTTATATGCACTTTTCATATATATATATATATATATATATATATATATATAAAAATAAGGAAATGTGGTATGATTGCCAATGAGACACTGAACTATCCACCAGAGTTCAAATGAAGTGAATGTAAGCAATTATAGGCAACAGTCCCCCCTTCAACAATGAGAAAAACCCATATTCGGCAATCGCAGTTACTGAAAGTTAGTTCAAAGCCAATTACAACTAGAAAATAAATTATGTTCTCCAAGATTAAAGTATCAGTCAGTATAAATCCAACGGATTTTGTACAATATGTTCAACTTTCCCTTCTCAACATGTCGCATATCAATCTACCGGTACGCGTAACCGTTTTATGTGTCAAGTGTTATTCATGTTATAAACGCTGTTCTTTTTTCTCTCGGATATAAGTTAAATTATATAATTGCACTCGTTTATAGGGAAATCAGTATAAGATTGGAGAAACTTCTCTAAATTGATTTAAGAATTATATTCATAGATTGATAGCAGAGAGATGTTTTCTTTCAAGAGTGTCTTTTGTTCATGATTGCTTGGCTGCTCAGTATCATATTTTTTTCTGTACATATATAGCAAAATTGTTTGGTTTGCTTTCGTGTCACTGCTTAAGTTTTATCATATACTTATCAGTCCCATTTACAGAAGAAAGCTAGAAAGAAATATGTTGTACTGTCTTAGAAAATCCAGAACGTATTGGTATATTTCTTTATATGATCATATGTGATTGTTTTTTGGATATGTTTACCTCTTGTTTCACATGTAAATGTGACAGAGTGTTTTTAAAATAAAGCATTATTGTATTGTATAATATAACTAGTGTACCACATCTGGTTTCTGCAAATGGAGTGTATGGAAATAAACGCAATCATCAGGACAAAGTCGGAGTTGGTCAGGTCAACATTTCTAACTCTTAGAAAATTTTTTAAATGTTTTTCTTGTATTTGTTTAAGAAATGTTGTCATCTTGCTTGGTTCCAAATTTTAAGTCAATCCTTTCAATAATAAAAAAGTATTTAGCATTTTCATATCGGTCAGGGCAATCGTCAGGACATTAGTGTAACCCTTAAAAAGGTTGTGTCTAGTGTTAACAAATTTCGTGAAGCAGAAACCTAAAATATACGTTAACATTCCAACATTTCCACAAGAAACATACTTCAATTAGTTGATTAAGAACTTTAAAACTGTTGATTGGATGCAGCCAGTTATAACTGCGGCCAATGAAAATCATTAACTAGTGTATCCGAAATTCTATCTTAATCCGCCAAGGCTAGAGAGTAGGGGACTGGATCGTAACCCTTGGCTAATGAAGATGAATTTTATCACGGCCTTTTATAGCTTACTATGAACATTATACCTTTTGATAGCTGGTGGATAATTATCACATTGGTAATCTGACCACATCTCCTTTTACAGCTCACCTGGCCCAAAGGGCCATGTGAGCTTACCCTATCACTTGTCGTCCATCTTCCATTAACTTTTACAAAGATCATCTCCTCTGAAACTACTGAGCAAAATTTAACCAAACTTGGCCACAATCATCATTGGGGTATTTTGTTATGACCCCGCTATAGCGGAGGGGGTATTAAGTGTTACCCTTGTCAGTCTGTACGTCCCAAAATTGGTTTCCATTCTCCAACTTGAGTTTGCCTCAACCAAATGTTATGAAACTTGTACACAATGCTTATTACCACAAAATACAGATCAAGTTTGAATTTTGGTAGCATCACTCTAACTGTTCTAGAATTATGCCCCTTTAGAAATGGAAAGATTACAAAATTTTTAGTTTCCTTTCTCTAACTTAAGTTTACCTCAACCAAATGTTATTAAACTTATACACAATGCTTATTACCACAAAACACCGATCAAATTTGAATTTTGGTGGCGTCACTAAATTAACTGTTCTAGAGTTTTGCCCCTTTATAAATGGAAAAATTGCTAAATTTTGGGTTTCCGTTCTTTAACTTAAGTTTGTCTCAACCAAATATTATGAAACTTATGCTTATTACCACAAAATACAGATCAAATTTGAATTTTGGTAGCGTCACTCTAACCGTTCTAGAGTTATGCCCCTTTATCAATGGAAAAATTACAAAATTTTTAGTTTCTGTTCTCTAACTTAAGTTTGCCTCAACCAAATGTTATGAAACTTATACACAATGCTTATTACCACAAAACACAGATCAAGTTTGAATTTTGGTGGGCACACTTTAACCATTCTAGAGTTTTGCTCCTTTATAAATGGAAAAATTGCTAAATTTTTAGTTTCCGTTCTCTAACTTAAGTTTGCCTCAACCAAATGTTATGAAACTTATACACAATGCTTATTACCACAAAATAAAGATCAAGTTTGAATTTTGGTGGCGTCACTTTAATCATTATTGAGTTATGCCCCTTTATAAATCGAAAAATTGCAAAATTTTAAGTTTCAGTTCTGTAACTTAAGTTTGCCCCAACCAAACATTATGAAACCTTTACACAATACTTATTACCACAAAACTCAGATCAAGTACAAATTTGGGTAGCGTCACTTTTATTGTTCTTGAGTTATGTCCCTTTATAATGTTGTATGCAAGCAGGGGCATCATCTGTGTCCATGGGGACACATTCTCCATTTATTTAATCATGAAACATTTAACTTATTAAACTATTTTTAGTGGTATGATGATGATTCTGAAAGATTAATTAAATTTTAGGACTTGATGCCTGAGATGACGGATAATAGAAAAGTTGATTATGCATAAATTATGCAATAGCAGGAGTGAAATACTAATACAGGGTCAGAGATAAAATAAAGATTGTCTTTTATAGAGACTGAGTGATGATAGATACAGTCAGAGATAAGATAATGAATTTCTATTTATATTATTTAAGGCTCTACTTTTGTATCAAAATTTAAATAAGGGAAAAAAAGCAATAATTAGAATAAAAGACAACGCAATGAAATCAGGCAGTTAGTTTTCTCGTATGAATTATTTTACATTTGTCATTTCGGGGCATTTTGTAGCTTACTATGAGTATGGGTTTTGTTCATTGTTAAAGGCTGTACGAAGACAATAGTTGTTAACTTCTACGTCACTTGGTCTCTGGTGGAGATTTGTCTCATTGGCAATCATACAACATCTTCCTTTTTTATACGACCGCAAAAAAATTTTTGTGGTCGTATATTGGTATGACATTTGGGGGTAATTGCCCAAAACGTTTAGGAATAAGGGGCCAAAAATAAGCATTTTTCTAGTTTCCAGACAATTACTTGTGTTCAAGTATATGGATCTCTCTGAAATTGTACTGTCAGGTACCATACCACAAAGGGAAGGCTGGGATTAATTTTGGGGTTAATTGCCACAAAATTTTAGGAATTAGGGGCAAAAAACAAGCATTTTTCTAGTTTCATGACAATAACTTGTGTGTAAGTGTATGGATCTTTATGAAATTGTACTACAAAGTTCCATATCACAAAGGGAAAGCAGGAATTGAGTTTGGGGGTAATTGCCCAAAACGTTTAGGAATAAGGGGCCAAAAAGGGGCCAAAAATAAGCATTTTTCTAGTTTCCAGACAATAACTTGTGTTCAAGTATATGGATCTCTCTGAAATTGTACTGTAAGGTACCATACCACAAAGGGAAGGCTGGGATTGATTTTGGGGGTAATTGCCGCAAAATTTTAGGAATTAGGGGCCCAAAAAAAGGGGCAAAAAACAAGCATTTTTCTAGTTTCAGGACAATAACTTGTGTGTAAGTGTATGAATCTTTCTGAAATTGTACTGCAAGGTTCCATATCACAAAGGGAAAGCTGGAATTGAGTTTGGGGGTAATTGCCCAAAACGTTTAGGAAAAAGGGGCCGAAAAGGGGCAAAAAATAAGTATTTTTCTAGTTTCCAGACAATAACTTGTGTTCAAGTGTATGGATCTCTCTGAAAATGTACTGCAAGGTACCATACCACAAAGGGAAGGCTGGGATTGATTATGGGGGTAATTGCCTCAAAAATTTAGGAATTAGGGGCCAAAAAAGGGCAAAAAACAAGCATTTTTCTATTTTCAGGACAATAACTTGTGTGTTAGTGTATGGATCTTTATGAAATTGTACTACAAGGTTCCATATCACTAAGGGAAAGCTGGGTTTGAGTTTGGGGGTAATTGCCCTAAACGTTTAGGAATTTGGGGCCAAAAAGGGGCCAAAAAACAAGCATTTTTCTAGTTTCCAGACAATAACTTGTGTTCAAGTGCATGGATCTCTCTGAAATTGTACTGCAAGGTACCGTACCACAAAGGGAAGGCTGGGATTGAGTTTGGGGGTGATGAATGATAAGGGGGTTCAAAAAATTTGGGGGGGATTTTTTTTTTCAATTTTTTTCTTAAAAATTTTCCATTTTAAATTGGTTATTTCTGATTTATATATAAAAGCAAATAATAATGATATGGTTTGAATAGGTAAATTAAATTTTTTTAAGTTCTTGGACCACATTCATTCTGTGTCAGAAACCTGTGCTGTGTCAAATATTTAATCACAATCCAAATTCAGTGCTGTATCAAGGTTGAATATTGTGTCCATACTTGCCACAACTGTTCAGGGTTCGACCTCTGCGGTCGTATCAAGCTGCGCCCAGCGGAGCATTTTATTATATAAATATATTTATGAATATAATCTATTCCAGATTATTTTATAAAATTAGAGATGCGTATGTTAATTTTTTATAGGAAAATATGTGAGTTTTCAAAAGCACATGTGTCGACTACTCTCTCTAAAAAATAATTATAAATGGCATAGTCAATT